CTACCTGGGACTGCTGACTCTACGTAGTGGACCTACACCACTTGCCCACTTGCCTCGGCCTAAACAGGGGCTGACTCCGAAAGGCCAGTTCTATAAACTTATACTTGGCCTTTCGGTATTGTAGCAGCTATGACTTTGCCCTTTCAGGTAAGTAGCAGCTACGACCTTGACCCTTCAGACATCCTACAGCTACGACTTCGGAACTGTCTAGACTCCTACCCTACAGGTCTACAGTTTGATTCCCTTTTAAGTTGTGACCTACGACAATCTACCTACCACTGGCGTTTTGACAGATCGCAGGTTCAAATCTACGGGTTGTCATCAATACTGTACACAGGTAAGATGGGGAACTAGGGATCGAGCCCTGGGATCTGCATTTGCTACTGCGAACTGGTGAATACCGTTTCACTCCCGCCGGCCTAAATTCGAGGTCCTCCGAGAAAATTTCAGTCCAAGGCAGGACCTTTACCCTTCTGCTGTCTTTCATAGGCCCGGACTATATCGGGAGCTGTCTCTAGAAGTTCAGATCTTGTAAACCAGCGGTCATCTTCCGGTTCTTGATAACTAAAATGAACCTTGTACTGTTTTTGCGGACGACCCCTACCTCCGGTTCTGAAGACATCCTCAGCCACTATACCGTCTATGTCATACCTTCCATCCATATCAGGTACGGGATGGAAACTGATCACTTGTTTGACAAGGTAGCAACTTCGATGCGTGGAAAACTGGATACGTGTGGAGGTGTGCTGGTAGTTCTATTGTATAGGACGGTCCATCTTCACCGCCCTTGACTTCAAGAACAGGCCACGGTCCTCTATATGTGGGCAGTAACTTCTGCGAGATGTTCTCCTCAGGTGCAAACTCTTTCGAACTAACCCASACTAAGTCGCCTACTTGAAACTGTGAAGGGCGACGATGTTTATTTGCTTGTTCTATCATCCTATGCTGGGCTTTCCTGAGGTTTTCTACAACAATAGCTAGTTTTTTCTCGTGCTGTACAGCGAACTCCCGGGTCCCGGGCGACAATCTCTGAATCTGATCTCGGTTGAGTCCCTCAAACGGTCTGCGCGGTCTAAAGGACTTGTGCAGTTCATTGGGTGTGTGGCAGGTGGCTAAATGCACGCTGTTATTGTACGCACTAACTACTTTAGGCAACATCTCATCCCAATTAATCTGATCTGGCCTAATATACATGCGCAAAACTTGCTGTAGGATCTTGTTCATTTGCTCTGTCTGACCGTTAGTCTCTGGATGGCGGCCGGACGACATCAACAACTTAGATCCGTATACTCCTATGAGTTCTTGCCAGTTATGGCTAGTAAAGCGACTATCTCTATCGCTAACTATAGACAGCGGGATTCCATTCTCACTAACCCAACAGTCAAAGAACCTCTGTATGACTAAATCAGTACGCGCCTCAGAAGGCAAAGCAACAAAAACTGCGTACTTGTTAAAGCGGTCAACTATGACCATGACTTGGCTCTTGCCATGCCTGCTCTTGACTTGAGTGTCCATGAAATCTATTGACACTGAGTCTCCCGGCTGATACGGAATGGGCAAGGGTCTGAGAAGACCTAGCGGGGCGCGCGTAGAACTCTTATTACGCTGGCAGACTTTGCAACTGCGAACATACTCTACGCAGTCATTCTTCATTCCTGGCCAGGTATACGCGTGCATCAGATTGGCCAAAGACTTTTGCCAACCGAAATGACCCTTCGTGTCGTGACATTCCCCCATAATCAGACTACGGATCTCTTTGTTATTGGGGATGCACAACCGGTCAAAGACATTAGTCTTCTCGAAGAGTAACCCTCCAGTAGTGCGGTAGTTCGGCTCGGTCTCTGGGGCCTCCTTGACTCGCGTGAGGAGCTCACTATAGATAGGGTCATGCGCGTAGGCTTCTCTAACCTTCGGCTGCAGATCCTTTCTTATATCGAGGTAATGTACTATTGCCCCAAAGTAATCTGCTCTCCTACTCAGAGCATCCGCGACTATGTTGTACATCCCTTTGACAGGCTTGAGCTCGAAGTCATACTGATCTATCTTTGCGGCCCACCTAGTAAGCCTAGAGGTCATCTTGACCTGGGTCTTTAACCACCGTAACGTTTCATGGTCCGAATAGACTTTGAAGTGCCTCCCAAGCAAGTAGTGCTTCCAGTGGTCTAATGCTTGCCTGAGAGCGTAGAGTTCCCTCTCATAGGTAGAT